CTGCACTTTCCTACATGTCAACCTGTATTTTTAGATTCATATGTCCTCGGGACTATTCTAGCATTCCGGTGCTCAGGTGACAGTTATCATTGTCTTTTGATGGTTTCATTGTTGGGTTTTGTCTTGGTATTGTAATGTTGAGATGCTCACATTGTCCTTCGGAAAGGTTACATTCACGTCTTTTACAGTGAAGGCTACTGTGCATTCCCTCCCTTCTCCTGTGGCAGCTTTTAAAGCCTGCGCACCAGAACTTTCCAGCTTTATTCCTGGCTTCGGCAGCTCCTGGGTCTGAAGCGTGGCTTTGGCGCTGTTTTATTAGACACAGTCTCCCTGTGCGGCCCTGGCTCAACTCATGCCTTCAGTCTTCCTGCCTCAACGTCCTAAGTGCTGGGATTACACAGGTGTGCAGTGACACCTGTCTAGGTCCCAAACTTTTAATCCCTTGTTGACCACTGTCTGTCATAGTCCCACCATATCCGCTTTCAGCAGAGTGACGTCAGACAGCTTCCTGATCGGGTAGTGCTTGGCAACTTTGGCTTAAAATTTCCTACAGAATCACTTTCCATGCTTCTTATGAGAGTTACCCCGGGACTCAGTTTTCTCCAGGGAAAGCGTTGGTCCATCTCCTCAACCAGTTGTATGTAGAGACAGCTAGGAACAAGTGTAGGCTGCCACTTGCTGTGAGCACCGTGTACCTTAAAGCTTGAAGCCTCTGGCATGGGTCCCCCAGACCAAATGCCAAGGAAGCAGAGGGCTGAGACAGTGGACGGTCAGTCCAACCTTTCCGCTTTCTTGCTGATTCTTTTTGCACCTCTTTTGTGCATGAATTTAAAGCACGAGTTGAAGACATGGAGCTTCAGGATATTGGCCCCTAGCCTGAATGGCTCCCAAATTCAGCCTCATGGCCAGAATGCTCTCAGCGGAGTCCACTGTTACTCCTGTTACTCTGAGGACATCAGGGGATACCTTTTCAGGAAGTTATATCCGGAGAGAACGCATGTCTTTTGCCCCTCTTAGCGTTCCCCTCAGCCTGTCTGACATTCTCTTGCCCCACACCCCACATGCTGTCGTAAATAGCCAGGCTTCTTGAACCGCTCCTAAAAGCTGAACAGTAACTCCATTTGCATCTGCAGAGCATTTTACAGCCTTCAAAGCACTTCCATATAATATTATCATTGGATCTTCAAACACCCTTCCAGGTATGTAGGTTAGGCCTATTATCATGACTGTAGCGATGACAGGATAGACAGCACTAATTAGGTGACTCTCTCACCCTCATACCCTTCATTATTGTGAGGCCGATTTAAAGTCAGGTTAATAATTTCATTCATTCATTCATTCTTTTGTTCATTCTCTCTTTTATCTGCCTGGACTGAAACACTCCCAGAATGGAAAAAGAAAGACTTTCAGGATTAGACAAACTTGGGTATGAAGCCCAATCTGCTATATGATCTTGGTCATGTGATTTAACTTCTGAGCTCTCTTTTCTCATTTATAACTCAGGGAGAATCATGACTTGCAGTGTTTTTATAGGAATCAAGTAATACACAAAACTTTGTCAGCCATAGTATCTGTCACATCGTAGGCGAACACTTTGAAATGCAAGCTGTTATATATCCCAGTTTATGTGTAGTCTCATGTGCTGGCAAAGCCTATCTATCATTGGCTATACTTTTTAGAATCTTCCCTGTTTAAGGTATATGAGGCAATGCTACACCCTGAGCATGGAAATGGAAATGAGAGAGGACATTTCTTCTATGACTGTAACTTCTCTTAGATGATGATCCTGAGTGGTAGAACATGTGTTCATGGCATCTTCAGTATCAAGACTAATGTCCAGAAGTGGGATATATAGCACAGTTATAGAACATGTGCTTAGCATGTGCAAGGTCATGGGTTCAATTCCCACTGCTGGAGGGAAGGGAAATGAGGGGGAAACACTGTCTGCAAGGTGGTTGGTACTCACCACAAGATGGCTAACCTTAGAGGTCTGATCATGAGGAGGTCACCTACTGTTTAAGACGGGCCGATGCACTACATTTAAGTATACTGAACTATCCCAAGCCCAACGTGGACCTCATGAGCTTTGGTGAGGAGTCAAAGGAAGTGCTTCCCAGTTCTCCTCAGGAGGATGAAGTAAAATGAAGAAGAGGAGGCAAACACTAAAGAGCGCTGTGTTTAATGTTCTTGGTTTGTCTGAAGAAGGGTGTGGGATTATTTATTTTGGACCACACTTTCTCTCAACTGCCCACCCCCCATGTCTGAAACTGAGTTTGTACTCAGAGCTTTTTCTCTGTTCATCTGTCACTTCTATCTCCCACAATGCATTACTTTGTAAAGAGTTGCTCGATAGAACCAGATCCTAGTCGCTGCATGGCACCACTAGCCATTGCGTAAAAGTATAATATATTGTGTGAGAGAAAATGGAGGCATACGAGAGGTGTTTAAAGAGCGCAAATAAAAGCTTGAAACAGAAGCGCATCGGGTGCATTCAAGTTAATAAACTGTCGTGGCAGAGCGGGCCACTTTCAAATGTGAAGAAATCTAATTTAGGGAGTTGTAACTGTAGGATTAGAATCTCACTGGAAAGAGGCGAGTGGATAGAGTTAGCCAAATTCTAAATGTCTGGGTTCTCGCTGAGAAAGAATCAGTCCTTGGAATTGAGCATGTATATTCCTTATTTCTCTGAGATGCTAAATCCAGTTGTCTCCTATTGAATATTCGGTCCTACTCAGCCTGTGGAATCCATTGCCCTTCTTTAAACACCGAGGAGGTGCCAGTTCCCAGTTCTGCTGACAGACCATCCGTAGCCCATCAGCTCAGGCTTTTGGAACCTATGGCGTCATTGTTCATTTCCACAGAGACAGAGACCAGAAATCTGTCAGGGGTGAGCTCTGGCGGGTGTGAGCCACAGAGACACTCGTATTATTTCTTTCGGGAGAAGCAAGGCAATCGACCCAGGTCTCCTCTTGGCAATGCTGAAGGATGACCATAACAGCTAGAGTTCCACTAGGTTTGCTGCCAAGAACTGGATTGGATTTTTTTGCTTCCTCAGCCACAAAATGTCCCAGCCTCTCACTCCTGAATCACTAATGCCCTTTGTGGTCAGTTTGCTCAGTGTGAATACTTCCTGATCTTTCTTTGTTCACTACCTTCATTATAATTTTTTTCTTGTTGTTATCCAAATTCTCAAATTTTTAGGTCCCTAAATATCGCTCCCCCCCTTATTTTGGTCAATAAAACAGGAGTGATTAAACGACATTTTCATGTTTGATAGAAAATTGAGAGTCTCTTCTAGTGCTGGGTATACCTTGTAGGCTGTTTTCTTGGAGAACAATGCTGTATTAATATATTTGCATTCTGGTATTGTAACACCATTGACCTTAGAGGATTACATAACTGGCTTGGGTTTTAGTTTCTCCATTTGAGAAATGGGAATAAAATGTCTAATTTGTAGCATTTTCATGAGAAGCAAAGAGATTGTGCATGAGGAAAATACCTTCCAGTGCACAGTGTATGATACAGAACAATAAATGACCGTTTAAGGCAAAGCAACACAGGCAGGACCCATTCTCATAAAAAAGAGGCACTTAGAGCGAATGATGAGAAACATAAAGAGAAATGACCGAGGCTCATATTCTACGGAGTTCTGCATCTTCAGTCTGCTGCGTGGTGTGTGATTTAGGAGCCCGTGTGGAAATGAAAAGGGAGGGGCTCTTTGTAGGAAGAAGGAAGTGAGCTATACACAAATATCTAGGCCACCATCTCAGGAAGTTATAGCTACAGGCCATCACTAGAAATAAAATAGAACTATCTTCAAGGTTGACACTCCGTGACTCCAACCCGGAGTAGTATTTGCTTGTTCTTGTATTTTGATGCATAGAAAGGTCAGGATGATACTGTTTCTTGTAACGCGGTGACTGACGATGCGGAAGGCAGTGTATGGTGTGCAGTGTCCTGGCATTCAAGGTAGAAGATGATAAGTCAGAAAATTGGGTTCAAAATTGCATCAGGACCTGGCTTAACATTAATGAGCACTTGCTGCTCCTGCAGAAGACTTGAGTTCGGCTTCCAGCACCCACACTGGCAGCTTACAAACACTTTAATGACTTCAGTTCTGTGAGATTTGATGCCTCTTCTGGACTCGGAGGGTACCTATGCACATGTAGTATATACAAACAAAGACACACACACACACACACACACACACACACACACACACTACACGAAATGGAATCTTATTTTTTTAAGGGCTGCTTCACTTTATTAAGTCTTGGGTAGGTCCCTTAACTTCATTGAGCCTTGATGTCAACATCCATAAAATGAGATACTAATACTCCTTTTAATTTTTCCCTGCTGGGTGATTGTAACGATCAGTTACAATTAAGTATCCATGTACCGCTTCTCTAATTTAATGTTAAGAGACAGATTCTAAAAGAGAAACACAGAAGCGATTCATGGCTGTCACTCCCTGGGAGGCAAACATGAGGTCCAGGCAACAAGACCATGGGGCCTCCATGCCTGGAGTTTGCTGGATTCATCTTATCCAGGCCATGTTTTGTGGCCAGCTTCTGCTGAGCCCCCTTTGCCAACAGCAGCTCAAAGATGGTTTTAACTAGAGTTCCAGGGGTCCAGGCAAGAGCAAGGCCTCTCCAGTGTGTGTGTGTGTGTGTGTGTGTGTGTGTGTGTGTGTGTACACACACATGCGCGCATGTACGTGCTTGGCTGGCCCACACTTCCCGGCACATCCTTGGCTGCTTTATCTCTGTCTGTTGGCTGCTGATTTGTCTTGGTCAAAGATTTATTAGGCTTCTGAAAATTTCTTTTTCTCTCTTCGTGCCCAGAGAACATCTGAATTAAGACGCTGGGTTAGGGGGAGAGAAATTGAGCTTCATGAGCAGCAGATAGAGTTTCTTGACTCTGCAAGCATTCAGATGCTGCAAAGACGTGTTCTCTAGCACACCTCGGGTTTTTAACCATTGTCTCCTTTCTGTTTTCAGAGAGTCGACGAGCTGAAGATGAAGCCCAGCGCAGAGTGCTGTTCTCCCAAGTTCTGGTTGGTGTTGGCCGTCCTGGCCGTATCCGGCAGCAAAGCCCGTTCCCAAAAGAGCCCCCCCAGCATCGGCATCGCTGTCATCCTCGTGGGCACTTCAGACGAAGTGGCCATAAAAGACGCCCACGAGAAAGATGACTTCCATCATCTCTCAGTAGTTCCCCGGGTGGAGCTGGTAGCCATGAACGAAACTGACCCAAAGAGCATCATCACCCGTATCTGCGATCTTATGTCCGACCGGAAGATCCAGGGGGTGGTGTTCGCTGATGACACCGACCAGGAAGCCATTGCCCAGATCCTCGATTTCATTTCTGCTCAGACGCTCACCCCTATCCTGGGCATCCATGGGGGCTCATCTATGATAATGGCAGATAAGGTAAAAAGACGGCTATTCTGAGGAGCAAATGGTGCATTGATTTTAAGGCAAAACTAAGTGGTTAAACATAGAAATTTACCAGGACACATAAAGTGAACAGATGAGAGTTCGTGAACTAGTCGGATAGTTAGGAGATGAAAGTTGGAAAATAATGCTGGTGTAGACGCCCCTAGAGCCTGGTTCTCAACCTGGGGTCTATCGACCTTTTCACAGGGGTCGCCTTAGACTGTCAGAAAACACAGATATTTGCATTATGACTCATAATAGCAGCAAAATTACAATTATGAAGGAGCAATGAAAAGAGTTTATGGTTGAGGGTCACTACAACATGAGGAACGTGGTAAAGGGTCGCAGCGTTAGGAAGGTTGAGAACCATTGGTCAAGAGTTTAGGACAGATTTATGTGTCTGTTTGTCTATTACTGAGAGATATTAAAAGTTGAAGTGTTGATAGATTTTTTTCCAAAATAGGTATGTGAGTAGCTCCCTCAACACTATAAGACACCCCATGCTCTATCATGGTTACTAAAATATTCTCCACCACAATGATTGTAAGAATTTAAAAAGAAAAATGCCCACGGCAGGTAGTTTCTGTCTGTGAAGACCCAAGTGTCACAGCACTAGGAAGATGCCCACTTACATCTCAGGATCTGCCCATCCTAAAGCCACTAGCCACACAACCACGGCAGCCATGTATTCTCCATGGTTAGCTTTAAAGGTAGTTTTAACTGTGGTTTGCCTACCGGAGTCATCTGGAGGGCTCTGAATGGCCCTGAAGTCTGCTTACATTCCAGGTTGGGATTCTGGGGTCTGAAAACCTTCTCAGGTGACTCCAGAGTACGGTTAAATGAGAACATGGCTGTGAAGGTTCAGAAAGGGAATGCCTGAACCAGGTTGGACTAAACATCTAAGGACAGTGACTCACTTGACCTCAGCACTGAATCTGAAATCTCAGAAAACGTGTTCTGCTTGGATTTTTAAGCCGTTGTTGACTGTTCGGTTGTTTTTTTTCCCCCTCACTATGCTGCTCAGTGCTTGTTGCTTAGCTCCCACGGCTGTCATTCCTTTCAGACGGACAACAATTCACCCTCTTGCAATACCTGGGACACGTGTCACTTTTAGAAACCTTCCCACCTTACTGTTGCCCTCCCGGATTTGTTGCCTTCAGTTTCAGAAGTGCCGTTAGGTCCCTCTAAAGGTCATGCTGTGTGATCAAGAATGGTTGTGGGTACCCCAAACCTCTCCTCAACACCCCAAGCATGCTGCTTGACCAGATGAGAACTACCACAGCACAGATTCACCAGAGAAGCCCTTGTGACCAGTGTCTGGTGGCTGGAGGGATGGCTACTGCTTCTGCCTCCCATAGCTCCATCTAGGGAAGGCTGGGCTGAGAGCGGTATGCAGAGAAGCTTTAGTATCATGAGAGATAGGTGTTCACATGAACACCTAAATGCATATCAGAAAACAAACACTGGCAGGAGTCGCTCGGAATGAACTTAAACACAGTGGAAAAGGCACCAGCTGTGGCAAAAGCCACCGAGCGTTTGCTTCGGGTGGACACCATTTTAAAAAGTTGTCCTGAGTCAAGTACATTTTACTTTATGCGTGGTATTCTAAGGGTGTTATATTGCATTGGAAGAATGTTGACATGATTAAGAGCCAGATTTCAAAATAATAAATAAGTGTGTGCTCCGTTCCAGAGTACAGCAGATCAGAATGACTTTGTTGCTGCTCATTTGAGTTATTGCAAACCCATGTTATTTCCCTCGAGGAGGGAGCTTGTGCACACGCTGATTGGTAGCATCCCCCTGGTGTCGTTTGAAGATCCTCAGCGTGAGGATAAAACTAGGAGCTGAGGTGCAACCTGGGTGGAGGTTGGGCTCTCTTGCTCCCTGGTGCATTCTGGGTACTGTGAGAGTGTTCACTGTGTGTTAGGCAGTTAGTCTGTCCATGTGTTATTTTATTTAATACCGCTGAGCTGAATGGCAGTGCCTCTCTTTCAGGAGGGGAAGCCAAGGCTCAAAGAGATTAAATATCACATCCCAAGTGAGGCTGTAGAAGCTGGCAGCCGTCCTTTAACTGCAGTTGCCAATTCTATGCCCCATTGCTCTCCCAGGAAAGGATGAGGCTGGTGGAGGCTTCATAAGTCTCACTTGCTCCCTTCTCCTTTGTCCTCTGGCATTGTGGGAAATGCCATAGAACGAGCAGTAGTCTAGCACCTGGTTCAGTGTCAGGCAATGCAGGAGGCTCACTGCGGGAGAGAAGGAACAAGAACCCGTGCAGCACAGTTCTACAGAGAACCTGCTGACTACTGCCTCCTAGGGGTAAAAGGCAGAATTGACTTGGTAGGTTGTGTGGGTTTCAGCGGTTGCTGTCATGAGAGTTGCTATCACCCTTCCTTCTGTCTCCTTTGTTACTGCGTTCAAAAACCTCATGCCACCCTTGCTTCTCCCCGTTAGTAAAAGGAGGCGAGCAGTGATTGCTTCAGGAGAAGTCCTAACATAGAGTAAACAAGGTCTAATTGGGTTTTGGCCCAAGATCAGAAAGAGGAAGAAGGAAGAAAAGGTCCTGGTAGCCAGAGAGTTGGATGCTTGGTCATGGAGGGTAGGGGGTGGGGTTGCTGGTGGCCCCAGAGGAGGGTGCCACAGGGCCAGAGGCACTGAGGAGATAGAGGCGATTCCCAGGCTGTGCTGAGGAGCGGGCATAGGCCTGGAGGACCTGCATGGTACCAAATAAAGGGCCCTCCAGGTCACAGGGAGAGAAGTTTTGACCTCAGGTTCATTTGCTTTTAAATCAAAGTATACATTCAATCGCCATGGTTGCATGATATACGTGTAGAATGGGGAAATGGGATTTGAAACAGGATACAGAATTTCAAAATGGAGCTGAGGGGGTTGGGGATTTAGCTCAGTGGTAGAGCGCTTGCCTAGCAAGCGCAAGGCCCTGGGTTCGGGCCTCAGCTTCAGAAAAAAAAAAAAGACAAAATATCAAAATGGAGCTGAGGAGGGAACTTTGAGGTAGGCGATGTCTGTGGCTGAAACTTAGTAACTAACTGGAGCATGGTGCTTTATCTGTCCTGCTAGGAGACGGGTAATTGCCTTGCGGTTGATAGTTTTTCCTTTTCATGGAATAGCATTTAGTTGCTCGCTCGCTGTATTTGTGGAGCTTTGGATGCCTGAAAGACACCCCTGTTATAAGGACTTCTGGTGAAGCAGACGCTGATCTGCCTCTGCCACTGGTCAAATGGCATGCGCTCACGTTCACATACGCTAACTGATCAGAGAAAACGCCAGCTGTCTGCCTTCAGTGAGGTAAAAGCACATTAGACTATGGCGGAAAGAGGCACAGGTGACAGCGTAGCAGAGCTAGTGAGAACTCAGAAGCTGGAGTCTGAGCGACTGGATGTGAGACTCTGGTTTCCTCACCAGCTTGTTATATGGTCAACCTCAGTTTCTTCTCCCTGTGCAGCAGGGAGGAGAGTATCCATTCGTGAGTGGTCGAGGATTATATAATGAGATGGGTAGTGTGTACCTAGTTAAGTGCCCAGATAAAACTGAACAAGAAACACAGGAGAGAAATCTTGGAGCGGGCTCTGAAGAAGGGCGCTGGATTCTTCTGTCTCACCCAGGAGGCTGAGATTCATTAGAGTATGGAAACTTGCCATGGCCAAAAAGGGTACACCCATGACAGAAAAGGCTCTAGCTAGCTACTGACGAACTTGTAGTAGTTGAAAGTGATAACAAGGAATGCTTAAAAATGTATGAGGTGCTTCTTGGCAGTCCCCCACCTGAGAATAAATAACATATTTCATTTTGTATTGTTATAATTGCTCTCACTCTCCCTGAGATCCCGGATTTAGGATGAATGTCTGAACTCAGGCTAGCAGCATCCCCATGTCTTCCCAGGGGCTTTCTTGATCGATTGGGTTTTCACATTTTAGCTCAGAGATGTTAAGTAACCAGCCCGGAACATCACAGCTTGCAGTTTGCAGTGAACTGGGATTCAACTCCCAGAGACACATGTTTGGAAACCCATGCTTTTTTTTTGTGTGTACAATTTAGCTTCATAAGACACAGAATTAAGAATTATAAGTCACACATTTCAATCTCCAGTCTGATGAGTTTTGGAAATTTCGGCAATCAGATCACTTAAGTGATATGAGGCTCAGTAGACAGTTTGTAAGATATAAATTGGTTTCCTTTTACCCAATTTGCATCATTTTGTAGATAAAAAGAAAATATGGGAAAAATGTTGCAATGGTACCAAGCAAGCAGACACTTGATAAGAACACTGGAGGCCCTGAAAATTGTTCTACCGCTAGCATCAGTGACAATGAAAATGGCTTGGGCAGGAGGGGGAGACACAACTCCTAGGATGGAGATTGCCCCAGGATCAATCAAGAGGAAGTGAGAGCCGAGCTCTACAGTCGCATGGAGAAGAGAGGGAAGGGTGCGCTGTGTGAAAGTCGAGGTTCAGAACAGATGAGTTGACCACAGTGAAAACTGACCCCCAAACTTGCACCTGCGTCTTTCTCTTCAGTGAAGGCTGTGCGCATGCTCACTGTGGTCTCTGTTGCTCGGACTCTTTTCTAAAGGGCATGGTGCGCAGTGATACTCCGAATAGTATTTTCAGGTTTTTCTCTTTTCTGATTTTTAATTTTTATTGTTACACTGTGTGCGCGCCCACGTGTGTGTGTGTTGTGTGTGTGTGTGTGTGTGTTTGTGTGTGTTTGTGCGTGTGCGCAGGTGCAGAAAGCCATTTTGGAGCATAACGAATAGGATGATGGCCCCTGCTTCTGCTCTCTTCCTCCCTCTCTCTCCACAGTTCATTTTAATTTCTGTCACTTCCTTTGGAGAGAACAGATAAGCCCATGATCATTGCCTTTCTTCTCTTTTTTCTTCCCATTTTCTCATGTGGATTTATTTAGCACCATCTTTAAACCAGGATAACTACATGCTATGCATACCATTGCTCAGTGTCTTCTCTGCACTGTTCGGTGTCT